TTATAAGGGGAAGACAATTTATAGCTTTTGTTATAGTGATTTCCTACTACATTCTCCAAAATTACTTTTATAAACCCCGTGAAAATAAATGTTGAGGGGAAATGCAAATTTTTCAGTCAAGAAAGGATAATTATTTGCTTAAAACACAGTAAGGTCTTGTAGTATTTTGGTGTTTAAAAAGAAAAATGCAGCACGACAGCAAGAAAGTAATAGAAATAAGCCGTACCTTATTAGAGTACTGATAGAAACCACTACACGCACATTTTAATTAGCTGCTTTTAACAGAAACGTTTTAAAGCTGCATTTTATAAAGCATACAAATTATTCCTCTCTGAAGAACCAGCACCTTACCGTGATAGAGAGGTTTGTGTGCCCTGATGAACCTGGGGGCTGTGTTGTCTGGAACCTTGTGTTCCTGGTAGGGTCTCCCATGGCAAATTGGTCTCAGGCAAGGGGTCAGACTAAGATTGGTTCAAAAGACCTCATGAAAGACGACACACGAAGTGAGGATACCCGGCCCGGAGGAAGCCCAGGCCCAGAAGGAGGACTCGTCGGTGAGCGTCTGGTGGCCGGGCTTGCCACGGAGCCCGGCCGGGCACAGCCCGAAAAGGCGACGTGGGCAACACCTCCGCTTCTCCGTCCCGCGGGCCCACCACCTACGGGAAACAGCGATGGGGTCGGGTGCGCTGCCAGAAGGGTGGCAGTGAAGGCAGAGGGTCTCGACGGACCAGACCCGGGCGACAGAAGCTGGCTTTGGGGACGTGGAACGTCACCTCTCTGGGGGGGAAGGAGTCGGAGCTTGTGCGGGAGGTGGAGCCTTACCAGTTGGATCTGGTTGGGCTCACCTCTACGCACAGCGTCGGCTCTGGAACCTTACTTCTGGATAGGGGTTGGACTCTATTCTTCTCCGGAGTTGCTCAAGGTGTGAGGCGCCGGGCGGGTGTGGGGATACTCACAAGTCCCCGGTTGGGTGCTTCGTTGTTGGAGTCTACCCCAGTGGACGAGAGGGTTGCCTCCCTACGCCTTCGGGTTATGGGGGGGAAAACTCTGACGGTTGTGTGTGCTTATGCACCCAACAGCAGTTCAGAGTATACAGCCTTCTTGGAGACCCTGGAAAGAGTCCTGTATGGGGCTCCTGAAGGGGACTCTGTAATCTTGCTGGGAGATTTCAACGCACATGTGGGCAATGATGGAGACACTTGGAGGGGAGTGATTGGGAGGAACGGCCCCCCTGATCTGAACCGGAGTGGTGGTTTGTTACTGGACTTCTGTGCTAGTCATGGATTGGCCATAACAAACACCATGTTCGAACATAAGGATGCTCATTAGTGTACGT